CTTCGGCACACACTTGTGATATAACCCTTTTTCAATTAGGGTGTGTGTATGCCATTGTAGCCCCGCCTCTTTGTTTTTCTTCGAATCTCACATAGAGATACTTGTAGGCCATTTTCAGGTCCTCCGTTGAAACGCTGATTGTGGCCATTGCACCCGGGTCGTAGTGACTTGTTATGAAATCAGTCACTTCGGTGGTTCTGAGTGACCCTTCCCTCTGCATATGCCATCCATGTAATGTCATTCCCCCGTAGACAGGGGTATACGGGTCCTCTAATTCGGCGGGTGACATTCCTAGCTCCCACTTCTCCGCTTTCTTCCTGATTGGTAATACCAGTACCTTGTCTCCCTTTGGCACGCACTTGTGATAAAACCCTTTTTCGATTCTCTCCTCTACTTCTGTTGTTTCTCTTCCTTCTCGCTCTGTCTGTGTGGCGTGTTTGACCTGTCGTGCGACGTCTTGTGCGGCGTCCTGTAAGGGAGGCAGCTGGTCGGGGGGGTGCGGTGGGGGCTTATCTGTCTTAGACACATTGTGTGTATCGTTCGGTTCAGGTGCTTTAACAGGTGTGGGAGGTTGGAAAGTTCTATGTACAATATTCCAAATCCTGTTCAACACCTGCTGCTAATCCATTTCCTACGGTAGACTCTGCTGCATGGCCTGTTTCAAGTTGGGGCTCTCATCCAGAAGGGAGAACAATTGTACATAGGCTGCGTCCCATTATGTCTCTGTTTGGCCGGTGTCGGTTCATAGATGTCACTATTGTTTTTTTTATAACTTTGGCTCTCTGTACCTTTACTCCCACCTTGGTCTTGTACTGATAGAGAGGAGTCACTCGACCTTGTTCCACAGGGGGGGACCAGCCCTGTACCATTCTAATTTTAACAGATGTCCCGAAGGACTAGTGAACTATTTTGACGTTGATAATTCTACTTGAAGCCCGCCTTATCTTAAAGTTCTCTATTAGAAAAGGGGGGGGGGGGGGGGGGGAAAAAAAAAAGGCCTGACAGTAGTGGAAGGTGAATTGGTAGAAGAACAGAAAAAAAAGTGATGGCCGGCCTTGAGATACCACCAGCCTAGCTCAATTCGCAGCCCGTCAGAGATGCGTTATTCCCCCTTTGAGACATCGAGACATTTTTTCGTCGTCCTTCATTATACCGATCGTTCATTACGGGTCGTTTGGTCGTTGGAAGGCTCGAAAAATGCAAGAAGGTGTAGGTATGGCACTTTGGGGGGGGGTGGCAGTTTGTCTAAAAAATGAGGGACCGGTAGCTGCCGGCGGGACCAAGCTTTGAGTTTTGGTCGGAACGGGTTTTGGTCGAAATCGAAACGGTGGCAAAGCAGGGGCAAATGGAAAGGGTGCACGAGGCCAGGGGCAGGGGCTGAGTGCGCAGGCTCGAAATAGAAACGGTGGCAGCAAGGGCAAATGGAAAGGGCGCGCGAGGCCGGGGGCAGGGGCTGAAAAGTCTGACGAAAGTGCGCAGTCTCTCTCTCTCTCTCTCTCTCTCTCTCTCTCAGGGCGTGTGGGGCTGAAAAGTCCGACGAAAATATGCACTCTCTCTCGCTCTTTTTGTGTGTGTGTGTGTGTGTGTGTGTGTGTGTGTGTGTGTGTGTTCGCAGCCCGTCAGGGGTGCGTTTTTCCCCCTTTGAGACATTGAGACATTTTTTCGTTGTCCTTCGTTATACCGGTCGGGTCGTTTGGTCGTTGGAAGGCTCGAAAAATGCAGGAAGGTGCAGGTGTGGCACTTTGGGGGGGGGTGGCAGTTTGTCTAAAAAATAAAGGACCGGTAGCTGCCGGTGGGACCGCGCTTTGGGTTTTGGTCGAAATCAAAACGGTGGCAAAGCAGGGGCACATGGAAAGGGCGCGCGGGGCCGAGGGCAGGGGCTGAAAAATCCGACGAAAGTGCGCAGGCTTGGGTAGTGGTTGAAATGACACTTCCGTCCGATGAAAGTGCTCAGGCTTGGGCAGTGGTTGAAGTGACACTTCGGACTTCGTTGACTCTCTCTCTCTTTCTGTGTGTGTGTGTGTGTGTGTGTGTGTGTGTGTGTGTGTGTGTGTGTGTGTGTGTGTGTGTGTGTGTGTGTGTTTATCAATCAAGCATATACCCATATTTCAATTTTGCCATTCAGTCTCTCTCTCTCCCTCTCTGGTAGGCCCCCCCGCCTCCCTCTCTCTCTATCTCTCTTTCTTT